AAGTGTTTTTGCAGAACATTATGTCTCAGTGGTCTTAACCTTTGACCTTTATGATATTAAAAGTCATGATTTCATATTGTGTTGAGGGATTTGAGGTGGACAGGTTCAGCCAGTCACAGATGTTTGGTGGTAAGGAGTTCCAGAGGGTTGGGGCGGCGACACAAAGCTGAACCCCAAGTTGCTCCCAATGGCAGGCAGCAGCTTGTACGGATGCTCTGTCACCATTGGTGTATGAATGTGTGTGAATGAGAAACACATTGTGAAGCGCTTTGAGTGCCGCTAAGGTAGAAAAGCGTTGTGTAAGTGCAGTCCATTTACCATTTACTTGAACTTAAACACATCAAAGGCCTTTCCAAAAGAGCCTCTGACAACAGTCCACCAGTCTAACCAGTGCTCATGATTACACATGGATTATTGATGATGTCTGATAATGATCAAAAGCTGATGAGTGTCTGATGGAGCCAGAAAGAAAGAGTCGGCCAGCTGAATGAAGCTGATCCACAAACAAGCAGATGCGTACAACGTCCATCACTCATTAAAGGATAATCCTTAACATGATTCAAAAAACGAGTGTAATCATGGCATTACGGACGACCTGAGAAACGCTGAGTGAGACGTCCCTAAAACAAGCCAAACATTGTCAGAGAGCAGGGGCTTCTGAAGCAGCGTTCTCGGTGCAATGAAAGAAGCACAGTCTGAATTGAAAGCAGCAATTTTGGCACCAGCGTCATGTCTGACTCACTTGTGCCTTTCTCGCCAATGACTGAATAGTTAATGAAACGTATCCTGCCCAAGAGGGCTGTGCGTTGGACAAATCTGGGTTTGTTATCACTGCAGGGGCTGTTGGAGAAGCAAGAAGGGCTCAGACAAAGAGTGTCTACTTTCTTCTTTCTAATCTCTTTCTACAAGGAGCTGCCCACCTGCCAGTAACGTCGGTCTACCTCCAGGACTCAGCACACTTGCCTTTTTGCTTTCCCTTACCTTGGCCTGTCATTTCCACATTTTTAATAAAATGGATCCAGCTCTGATAACATGAGATGCCCCTAAAGTCTGGTTTTAATGTAGTCTCTTGTTAATATTTGACACATCTTCTAGGTCACATTTAACACACTCTCATGGCAAAGACAACGTGTTTCCACTTGAATATTTTACACAGAATTTTAAATACGTCTGGTACCTTTTAGAACGATACTAATCAAATGTCTGCACACACAGCTTCAATCCTTCTTCATAAACACTCATATTGACTGAATCCACTGTGATATTTTCACACTCTGTCGTGTTTCCATCTCGTTCTTTCTTTCTTGCTCACGTGCCTTTTTTGAGTATAAAAGCAATGCGAACACATAATGCTGAGTTTTAGAGGCAGCAGTAAAAAGAATCAAAGCGTAGTGAGTCTGAACAAGGTCAGCTTAATGATGTTACTGCTCTTCAGAGGCAACAACAAAAAAACTTTCTTGACAGAGATGTTGATACGGAATGGATTTTTTATTTTTTTTTGGAGACTTTGGTATGATGGATTCCTAAATGGGGTTTTTACAGTTTATTTTAGTCAATAAATATGAACTATTTTTAACTTGCATTCGATCATCTAAGACTGTTCACTATGGGTACTGCTGTGCCCTGATTCTAGAGCAGCAATCATTTTTTCTCTGTGTCACCCTCAGGCACCATCTGTCATGGCTTTCCCTGCAACCACACCAACGGGCATGAATGCATATGCAATGGTAAGTCGGCTAGAACTGTGTGTGTGACAGGATTTCCCTTTCCTTCACACACACACTCTACAGCAGGGATCTCCGACTCCGGTCCTCGTGAGCTACTGTTCTGCAGGTTTTAGATGTTTCCGTACTCACATTAATGGATCTCCAACAGCTTCTTGTCAAGTTCTACACAAGTCTGTTAATGAGCCATTCATTTGAGTCAGGTGTACGGAAATGTCTAAAACAGGGGTCTCCAATCCTGGTCCTCGAGGGCCGCAGTCCTGCATGTTTTAGATGTTTCTTTCTTCTAACACACCTGATTCAAATGATCAGCTCATCATCAAGCTCTGCAGAAGCCTGATAACGATCCTGATCATTGTGTTGGAAGAGGGAAACATCTAAAACATGCAGGACTGTGGCCCTCGAGGACCAGGATTGGACACCCCTGATCTAAAACATGCAGGACTGTGGCCCTCGAGGACCAGGATTGGACACCCCTGATCTAAAACCTGCAGGACAGTAGCTCACGAGGATGGGAGTTGGAGATCCCTGCTGTAGAGTGTGTGTGAAGGAAAGGGAAATCCTGCCACACACACAGATCCCTGCTCTACAGGTTGGCAACAACTCGCATCATGAGCAGGGACGTCTTCAATCCTGAAAGCAGAACTCAACAGATGGATCCATCAGTGTGTCACAGTTTATATTTTTATTATATGATTCAAAATGAGTACTAATGCTTCAATCTGAAATGCTAAAAGGAATAAATCTAGATGAGTCACGTGTTCTGAATCCCAGTAACTATGTTCAGCACACCTGTTTAGTCCAGTTTAGTTTGTTTTTTTCCTGTAGCCGCTAAAAACAACCTGAGCTGGGCCACATGTGGGTGATGAGTTTTCATGGTCAGCCATCACTGCTACAGGCTTTCTTTTCTTTTTTTCTTTTTGGTTTATATCAAATGGAAACTGTAGCAAGCGGCAGCCTGAAACTGATTCAGATGAAAGGTTTTGCCCAAAGTGATATGTTTGAAGGAGGATTAGGCTCTAGAATTCATCCATTCATTGTCTGTCGGCTCTGTTCATCCCCTTCAGCCTCCCCACATGGGCTCCATGATGATGACACAGCCCACTATGATGTACGCCCAGCCTGTGATGCGGCCGGCCAACCCCTTTGGGCCCAATCCAGGTGCACAGGTAACAGATGGCCACTTCTACACTGTTCCATTCCTTCCACATTTAGGCACAGTGACGAAACTCTCAGAACCTGATCGACATTTCTTCCCTGTAATCTGCCAATTTGGCTGCTAAGTAGCATCACATTCACAGGCCAGCTTCTGCTTACTGAACAAATCTTTCTTATCTGTGTGTGTATTTCACACTGTGCACCGTGTTTTCATGCAAACCTGGAAATCAGCCTCCAAGTGTGTTTTCCTTGATGAAAGTGATTAAGGTTTTTTTTTTTTTAAGAAAACATCTTTCAAGTGAGGATTTTTTTTTATGTGATAATAACAAAAATTGGCTTGAAATGCTCCATTACTATTGTTGCGCGCTACGAATACAATCGTGACTCGACACTCAGACCCTTAACAATCTAAAACGTTGCTGTCTAACAGGTTTTTAGGAAAAACCAATGAAAACCATAATAAACAGCCTTAACATACCGACAGCCTTGGATTCCGACTCTGATATGACATTTTATGTCACAAATAAGGATAACGGTGTTTATCTGACTGAACAATCCCACAGATTTGCTTACCTTTGATGTCAACCGACGGTCCCATGCACAATCACACCGATCATTTAGGCATGAAATCCAGCGATGTGCAGTGTTCTAACAATACACTAGTTATTATGAACAATAAATATTAACAACAAGTTACGCTTCCAGCATCAAGCCCTCCTTGTATCTGGACCTCCGTCTTGACAATCCGACATAAAAGAAGGTTTTACATTTAGTGTCGGATTATCGAGTCACGAGTGAACTTTGTAAAATTCTTCTGTTGACCATAAATAGATTTTTATTTGGTTAGTTTTCTGCTGTTTTTGCAACAAGTGTTCGTCACAGTTTCGTCTGATTGTTTCAGTGATATGTACCGTTCCATAGAGGACACTGTAGCTTTGCTTAGATTAATACATTAATACACTATTTGAAAGCTCATATTTCCATCAATCCAGCTGTTTGTCTCAGTGAACTCGTCTGACTCACTGGATGGGCGTCGGCTTTCTCTTCTCCTTCCGCTATCGGCAAGTTGCAAAATATCCTTCACGACGGGGCACAACAACAGCCACCATACTAGCCAACCTACCACACTGAAGAATTCTAGTTTTGCTGAGAATTGTTTTTTTAATTACACTTCTTGCCTCCCTGCTTGCAAATATATACGTTCAAACCAAAGTCACATCCTTCGTTTGATCCAAGTTGTCACTGGTTTAAATAAAATACTAACAGGCCAGAGTGCTTCACCTGTTATTCTGTTGTGCAGAACTGTCTGGTGAGGCAACTCTACTGGCCAGAATTATTGACTCTCATTTCATTTAACATATTTTCTAAAAAAATTTAGTTTTGTTTTTTTTTGTAATTTTTATTTTTAACTCTCATTTTGATTCTGTTAACAAAATAACATTCATGGGAAGAGCCCCGTTACAATAAAAATCTGTTTCCATCCACTTGAAACAACGAAAATTATACAAAGTCAGACCTTATGGGCTTCACATGATCAGTCCATTTTGTCCAGAGCTTGTAAAACGTGTCCCTTTGAATTCTGAGACTAAATGAGTTTTTCCATCATGTCAATTTCTTGAATGTTGTTGATCCACTCATCGATGGTCAGAGGGTTGGATTTGAACCATTTCCTGGCTTCCTGACTTGCTGCCAGTAACAGCCAGATCAACCTCTGATCCTCATTACTCGAGTTTGTTACATTCACATGACCCAAATACACATTTTCACAACTGCAAGGTAGTTTGCTGTCAAATACATTATTAATATGTCACGTATCTGTGACCAATAAGGTCTTAAAACTAAACAGTCCCAGAAAATGTGGAAATGATCGGCCCCTGAAGAGCCACATATTTTTCTAAACCTTTGAGTGCAGAAACATTTTTGGATGAGATGACGAGTGAGCGTATCGCTTCATCTCCCTTCACCTCTCAGCCACTCTGAGCTAATGCGAGGCCTGTGAGGCTGTTCTGACGTCCACATCAAGTATTATCATTTAGTGCATCACTGAAAACTAGCAGAGCACATAATGACAGTAGAAGTTTTGTTTTCCGATCAGAACCTGGAGCCCAGGTTTCCCTCTGGGGTTCGTCTTTTATTGCTGGCTCTGTGTTTCTCCTCTGTTCTGCTTTCATCCTCTCTCCTGTCCTCTCCTGCGACTCAGTCACCAACAGCGTCTAGCCCTTCCAGTCTCAGCCCCCTCAGAGCACCAGGGAAGGACCCCTTTGCACAGCTCTTTCTGCAGAATTTCTTATAAAGCGTCTTTAGGTACAGCTCGTCTTCTGTGTGTGCTAAATGGCAGCTTCAGGTCCCCAGTGTGTCCACAAAGTGCATGTTTAATTCCAGCTTGTTTGAGTGGAACTGGCCGTGACGTGGATGGTTTTCGGTGCCAGTCCATCTCCTGTGAGATGCTGCCACACTGTAAACCACAGCTTTGCTCACTCTGCACACGTGTCTTGTCTCCTGTAAGATGATTGATTTAGTTGTGGGTTTTTTTGCTTGTTTGTTTTCTTTGCTTTGCAGGAGGCTGAAATTATATTTGCTCTGTCATGCTGAGATGTGACGGTTCCATTTGTAGTTTCATAAAGGCATCATTTTGACATGTCCATTAGCAATGCAAGTTAAGTAGCTGTAATAACGTGAAGTACAATCACCAGTCACACCAGTCTCTAGTGAACAGGACTCCAATTTGCAATGCAAGCTTCACTCAGCACCTTTATTTTGCCTTGTTTGAGCGTTACAGCTGCTTTATTCACGTCCATAGATTTGTTTTAGCGGTCTGGATACTCGTCTTTCTTTACTGGATCTACAGCTGTTCTCTGTGTTCTTGCAGAACTAAGAGCTGACTCTGTTTGTTCTACTATTCCAGATGCAGTTTATGTAACCTGAGGGGGTCGACTAGCCGAGCAAACGGGCTGTTTGCTTCTAACGAACTCATTTCTCTCTGAGAATGAAAGGCCCAAAAAAAGGACTAGTTAAATAAAATCATGGTGACTCGGATCAGCTCTGGCCATCCCAGAGAGGCATCACAGTGGACATTGTGCCCATCTCGTCATGTCCAAGTCATAGAAGGAGAAGAAGAAGAGTTGTGTGGTGCCATTTAAAACCATGTGGACAAAGATCAGCCCCCTACTGTATCCTGGACTAAGAGAAACACGACACCCAAAGGCAGAGCTGTCTAACATTACTGCTTTAAATACCTGGAAAACAAAAGCAAAGCTGGTTTGTGTCACACATGTTTGAATTGTCTTTTCTTTTTCTTTTTTTTGTTCCTCTTTCTCCAGGTGAGGCTGGAAGAGTCACTTCTGATTATCAATCATGATTTCCTTCTTAAAACATCCTCAGATTGAGAAACCAGTTTCAAGTTTATGCCACACTTTTCCTTTTTCTTTTGATGTATTGTTTGCAGTAGACATTCCTTATGTATTGTTTGTATTTATTTATGATTCCTTACAGAGAGGATTACATTAAAAAAAAAAAAAAAAGGAAATGTAAGTAAGTCACTGACCTCCCCGCTGTGGAAGGTTTTCAGGTTTATACATACGAGTATGATTGATTGTAGAATTAGATTTTGAGTGATTGAGATAATTTTTAAGAAAGAAGTTAATATAAAGAGAATTCATGTTTTATTCTCTGTACTCGCATGATGCCTTGTACAGTTATCAGTGGCTCCACAGGTCACACCGAGGATGTGTTTGAGCTTAATAATTCAGTAGCGCCGTCAAAACGATGGGGCTTGGTTTCTATGTATGTGGTGAGGGGAACATTTTTCACATTCATAAACGCACTACATTTTGTGATCAAGGCAGCATCGCATTAGGAAGGAATCTGCATTTATGCTTTTGACGCTTTTGGCATGCCATTTATTCTTACATATAACAAAGCTCCTGGCTGCCCTTCTCCAACCTCAACGTACAGGGGCCCTTTCATGTTCAGATCATATATTCATAGGCAAGTATTTTGGTGTTTAGGACAATGGGGGGGGCACTGGGTGTATGTTTGTGTCAGACCTGTAACAGGGCTGAAGGGGCAGAGAGGCCTAGTTGAGCAGGAGAATAGAGCGCTGTTGATCGGTGCTTTGTGTACATACAAGCTGATTCTGCCAGTCACAGGAACGGATGGGTGCAGGAATGAAAGATCGCCTGGACATTAAAGTGGCCCTGAATCCATTAACTGAGCATATTTGCTGCATTGTCCCTGCAGATTATATTTTTGTTTGTTTAATTTTTCCAATAAAGTGCAAGCTTCCAAACGTCTTCGTCTCCGTGTTTGTGTACAGACGAGCAAAACTGTTTCAAGGACAGGTTGTGTAAATGATGTAAGTACAGATAAGTTAAGAAGGAAAGAATGTCATCAACAGATTAATGTTGCCGATCGTGCTCCATTGATTGGAAACATCCTAATTAAACGTGTGCTGAGGAACTTAAAAGATTCCAAGTGGTGGATTAAAGCCAGCATGTTGGTGATGACTTCCATCCGGTACCGTGACGTCCGTAGCCTTCAGGTGAAGGTCCAGGTGTAGAGGGAAATGCTTTTGGGATGGATTGTGTTATAATTTACCTCTTACTTGAGCAATATATGAGGGCACCTCAGAAAGTTCTCGTCTAGAAAACAAGCGGCATAGCTGTTATTTTGGGGCATAACCGTTAACTATAAAGCCTTCTGTCACTGTCTACGAAAACTCAAATGTTTGAAGCAATCAAAGAAAAAAGGAAGAGTTAAGTTGGCATGTTGTTGCTCCAGGGCAATGCTCCCATCCACACAGCATGCTCAAACTCATCAGAACATATGTGTGGGACAGGAAAGACTCGGTGGGCTGGCAATGGTCTCAACAGAGAACGACAGAGCCAGGAATCTGGGCTTCAGCGATGTTGTCAGCGACTTTGCTGATGAACTTTT